GCTCCACCGCTTTTCCTCGCCATGAATATTTCATGAGGCAGCTGGGCGCCAAGCCCGCCGGAGGTGGCATTAACTTAACTGCACGGACACGGGGATGCTGAGACAACAGCTCATGGCTGCGCGCGGAGCTTCCCGCTGCGCTCCGGGGATGGGAATCGCTGGGGTCAGCAGAGAGGGACCGACGTGTCCCGCATCTCTGCTGGGCACCGGGCAGGATGTCCCCCAAGCGAGCCACGAGCATTATTAATTGCTTAATTAATGGCTGTTCACTTGTTCTTTTCCCCTACAAATTAACGCCAGCTCCATTCGCATCCCTGTTCCCTCCGAGCAGCCGCGGGCGCCAGTGCTCTGGCGAACAGCAGATTTAATGCAAATACTTGCACAAAGTGGCCTTTAAACGCAACGTGCTGCTGTCCGTGGCTGCCCGAGGAGCCCAGAGCCCTTTTCCGGAGCAAGAGGCCTAAGGCTCGGGAAGTGACTCTGGAGCGGCATGTCCCCAGTTTTGCTCCCGCCTTGGGAACTGCATCCCGAACCCCACATCACGTCCCTGGGGTTGCTGCCGCGTGCGGAGCGGCGGGGCAGGGCCCTGCAAGGAGCTCCGGGGTGACCACTCTCCGCGTGTGCAGAGCCGCACACGCGCCGAGTAGCACCCGTAAGTGTACATATGCACATGCATACACACACACACACACTATACACTCACGCACTATATATATATATACACATATATGCACACACACTATATACATACACACGCTATATGCACACACGTGTATCTATACACACACACATATATACACACAGAATATATATCTATACACACACGTGTATCTATACACACACACCTTGTATAAGCGCCCCCTCCCGCCAGCTGATGCCCCGGCCTGGCCGCGCGCTCCCGCGCTCCTCCCGGCGCTCCCGCGCTCCTGCCCGCGCTCCTGCCCGCGCTGCTCCCCGCGCTCCTCCAGGCCCGACCCCGCGCTCGCTCCCGCGCTCCTCCCGCCCCGGTCCCGCGCTGCTCCCCGCACTCCTCCCCGCGCTCCTGCGCTCGCTCCCGCGCTGCTCCTCGCGCTCCCGCGCGCTCCTCCCGGCCCACTCCCGCCCTGCTCCCGGCGCTCCCGCGCGCGCTCCCGCGCTACTCCCCG